AATTCCCCCCCCCCCCCCCCCCCCCACCGCATCTTGACTTCAACCTAAGTCATTTTTAGAAACCAAAATTTAACACCGTATTTTTTTCGCACCTACCGGTTGCCTGAAGAATTATCAAAGGCTCATGTACTAACGGCAGAAGAGCCCTGTCTTATTGATTTGAATGTACGAGGTGCATAACAAAAGTTCTCGGAATATAAATTAAAATGGCATATAATTGAGCTGAAAAAAATTTAATCTTTAGTGGAAAACATATTCTTTGGCACAAAAAAAAAATCAGCCCTGTTTGACACATTTTTCTGAATGTTTTGCAAAATTCACCATGGCAGAGTTTTGCTCTCCACTCAAAAGATGAGGCGGCTTTTCTGCAGATTTTGTTGTTGTAGCCCAGCTTTCCCCTCAGAATTCTTGGAATCAATGTCGCATTAATTCCAAGGGTTGCCTTTAGGTCTTCCGAAGTAAATTCCGCCTATTTCATTAACTGTGAAGGTGGCTGTTGATGAAAATGGCGGAATTACCTTGGAAGATCTTTTGAGTGGAGAGCAGAACTCTGCCAGGGTGAATTTTGCGAAACATTAAAAAAATGCGTCAAACAGGGCTGATTTTTTCTCGTGCCAAAGAATATGTTTTCCCCAAATTTTTTTTTTTCTTCTCAATTAAATGCCATTTTAATTCATATTCCGAGAACTTTTGTTAGACCCCTCCTACAGTACTAGTTCCTGAAAAACGAAATCCGCTGGGTTTGAAAGAATTGCTTCGTGTTTTCTTCATTTTGTATTGTTCTGAATTTATTTTTTGTGTGGTCGAGTCGACGTCAAATGATGAGGTTGGGTTTGAAGTCTATGAAAATTCATCGCCGTGAAATGCGTGTTCATTTTCATCATTTCATGTACAGGAGTTTCTACCTCGGCAAGCATTCGGGCCGGCAGTTGACGCTGCAGCCGCAGCTGGGCCACGCGGACCTGAACGCCGTTTTCTACACGTTACCGGCGGACGCTGCTGCTCGCGTCGGCGGCGGAGCGCACCCCAAGCCGATGCTGGACGACGAGGATTTGCCCGGGATGCCGTCGTCGAGTTGTTCACAGGGCGGTGCCGCCGCCGCCGCTGCCGCCTTCGCGGTCGGTATTCCCGGCATCGAAGGATCCTTGTCTACCCGTAAACACATAATCCAGGTACAGCAACTGACTCTTCTATACTCGCAGTGTGGTACAGGTGAACGAGAACGATTTTGGACCTTTGCCCAAACGTCAGACGACTTTTGTTTCGAAGAGAATAAGTTACGAAGGCGGGGAAATGTACTCCTCATCGCTTCTGAACTTTCGTAAGCCAAAAATTCCTGCATGAGGAAGTGAAAAAAAATAAAATAAATGAGAATCCACTGTTTACGTTGCTTTTAAATTGAAAAATATCGTTCTGTAAAAATTTTGAAAATTTTATGAATCATGCTACAAGTGGACTCTCAAAACAACGGGATTCAGGGGACCGGAAAATAATTCGTTTTAAAGAGGACTCCGTTGTCGAAAACCTCCATGTCTATAGGATGGATGCAAACCTGTACATGACTGAAAAAAAAATTCGTTGAAAAGTGAAAATCGTTGTGCAGAGATTTCGCGATAATTTGATTTATTGTACGTGAAAGTCTCGTAAAATGATGGACGCGTGTTCATGATTTATCCATCACTTTCATTGAAAAAAAAAAACATTTGAGAGACTATTTGTCCGTGATTTTGAGAAGCTGTTTTTGTCAGTGATCCTTGATTTAACCATCGCCATTTTTAAGCTATCGTGAGAAATTATGCGTCAGTGAAGTTCGAGACGTGGCTTTTTTTTAAATCTTATTGATGCAAATGAAAAATCGTGTCGACTTTCTGGATGACGATTTCCTTGGCGTTGATCTTCTTTCTTTCCGTTTCTGCAGGTCTCCACTTATCAGATGTGCATCCTGATGCTGTTTAATAATCGCACGCAGTGGACTTACGAGGTACGTCTGGTAGTAATCTAGTACAGTAAATATTTTCTTTTTATGAACCTGCGGCCCTTTTTTAAACCGTCAACCTGGTTAAATCACCACAAAGGGTGGCGTTTTATTGAGGTTTGGCCCTATTTAGTGCCTTCATCCGCCGTAGGATATTTTGTGTTACTAAATTGAGAAGGATATTTTAAAAATTCCATGTTTTGTAGAATTTTAACGTATGCAAGAAAAAGATGTTCATTGCTTTATTGTACCCCTGATCATACAGTTGAACCTCTCTAAGTCGAATTTCAAGGGGCCTGCAAAAAAAAATTCGACTTGAAGAGATTTTGAATTAAATAGGTTTGAACTACAATACAAAGCCTTTTTTTTACAGGGAAACTTGGATAAAAATGCAAATGGTGATATTCTGGGACTTTAATGGCTTCTTAAATGAGTTGAAAGGCTGCTGAATTTGGAGGCAGGGGTTCATCTACCCAATGCAGTCTTTCACTTCCTGTAAACCACATGAATATCTATTTATTGCTTTTTTCTTTCTTGGGTTAAGAAAATAAAGGCCAACAAGCCACAGAAAATTTGACTTATGGAGGTTTGTGGGGAAAATCTTTTGACTTACGGAGGTTTTTAATGTATTGTTTCTAAGGGGATTCAGATGGGGACCTGAAAAAATTTGACTTCAAGGGGTATTTGACTTAGGGAGGTTTGAGTTATTGAGGTTCACCTGTACCCTGCACAACAGACCACCTCTGGAAGCGGGTTTCCCTCCTGCGCAATGGACTAGATCCGCATGACAGACTTCTGTTGGTTTGAAATTAATGATAAAAAGTAGAAATGAAAATTTTTCGGATAGCAGACTTTTCACGCAACAAACTGGTCTTTTGCTCAAATTAAATCTGTTGTGCAGGGGTTGACTGTAATCCACAGGGAAGTACTCTGCAAAAACAGAATGAATAGTTGCTCCCTGAGTATACTGTTTTGATAATTTGCAACATTCCTTCCTGGTCACAAAAATGGTCACTTTATTTCAATTTCTGCCAGCTTTCAGGTGTTCTTCGCACAAGAAAACTATTCAAGGGTTCTAACAAAAGTTCTTGGAATAGAAATGAAAATGGCGTATAAAATTTATTCTTTAGGGAAAACATATCCTTTGGCACAAGAAAAAAATCAGCCCTGTTTGACACATTTTTTGAACATTTTGAAAAATTCTCCCTGGCAGAGTTTTGCTCTCCACTCAACAGATGAGGCGCCCTTCCTGCAGTTTTTTTTTTTAGCCCAGCTTTCCCCTCAGAATTCCTGAAATCAACGTGGCATTAATTCCAAGGGTTGCCTCCTAGTCTTCCAAGGTAATTCCGTTGATTTTAAAATTTCTGAGGGGAAAGCTGGGCTAAAAGAAAATATGCAGGAAGGACGCCTCATCTGTTGAGTGGAGAGAAGATCTCTGCCAGGGGGAATTTTGCAAAACATTCAAAAAAATTGTCAAACTGCGCTGATTTTTTTTGCGGCCCAAGAATATGTTTTCCCTATAGAATAATTTTTTTCAGCTCGATTATACGCCATTTTCATTTCTTTTCCGAGAACTTTTGTTAGAACCGTCGCAGTACCCTTGATTAAAACCTTTAATGTTTGGGAGGGTTGGCAAAAATAGCCCCTTTTTTATTAATTTATTTCCCCGCGTGTTTGGCAGGAGATCCAGGGAGAAACTGAGATCCCGGAGCGGGACCTGGTGCGAGCCCTGCAAAGCCTGGCACTGGGCAAGCCGTCTCAACGAGTGCTCACCAAGAACCCGCGCTCCAAGGACATTGACGCCTCGCACACGTTTTCCGTGAACGACGCCTTCACGTCGCGACTGCACCGCGTCAAGATTCAAACCGTGGCGGCACGCGGCGAGAGTGAGCCGGAACGCAAGGAGACCCGGTCCAAGGTGGACGAGGACCGGAAGCACGAGATTGAGGCGGCCATTGTGCGGATTATGAAGGCACGGAAGCGGATGCCGGTGAGTAATGACTCGACTTGTGTAGTGAGGGGCATCAGAACAATATGGAGGGACAAGTGCAGGAGTGTTTTTCTTTACAACTGTGAGGGGGAAAAGGGTTGTGTGCTTCTTTTTTTTTTAGTGTTTGAAAGAAGGTAAAAGTGTGAATCTAATTGCTCTTCTACTGTCTTTTCGTGAAAAATGGAATTTCAACTGACTGTCTTGATTAATGAGAACATTTTCGGCAAAGGGTTGAATGTTTTTTTCACTGTTTGAAATAGTGTAAATATTGTATTTGAATCCAATTGTTTTTATACCATCTTTTCATGAAAAATTTGGAATTTCAACTGACTGTCTTAATTAATGAAAACGTTCTTTGCAAAGGATTTTGCTGAAGGGTTGACTGTTTTTTTTAGCATTTGAAAAAAGGTAAAAATTTGAATTCAATTACTTTTATACTGTGCTGTCTTTTCATGCAAAACTTGGGATTTCAACTGACTGTCTTGATTAATGAAAACACTACTGTATGTCTGTGAGCTCACAAAGTAAACCTTTTTTACTTGAGTGCCCATTTTTGTTTCGTTCAAAAGCACAGTTGGTGTTAGTAAAATTTTCCGACTGTGGAAACACGGTAGTATGCTATAAAAAGAAAAATCAACAAATCGAAAGGAAGGACTTGCTTTGAAATTCCATCTGATTTCATTTCGCAGCACAACATCCTTGTCGCCGAGGTGACGGAGCAGCTCCGAAGCAGGTTCCTACCATCCCCCGTGGTGATCAAGAAGCGGATAGAAGGACTCATTGAACGCGAATACCTCTCTCGTACTCCGGAAGATAGGCGAGTTTTTCCCCCAAACCCTCGTTTTATTTTTTTGAGAAAATTCTCTTTGGTTAAGTGTGTGTGATTTCGATGTTGTTTTTTAAGAAGACAGGGTTCCGATTTTTGTTCCAGAATTTATTACTAATAGCGAAGGCAGAGTAAGTTTTGTTGAAAAAGTTTTACAAAATGTATTTTCACTGGGTTGATTTATTGAGAGATTGAAAATGAGCTCGCCATTCGACTGAATATTTTAATGAAGCTGGAGTCTATTTTTCGAGCGATTTGTTACTCGATGAATTTAAGGTGCGGAATTTAATGTTCATCATAGAAACTTTTAAAGGAGGTGAATTTTTATTATTTTTTCGTATATCCAAGTGAATAATGTATCTTTATTGTAGAGTTTGCTGGCTAGTTGCATTCCATTTCATACTCCGATAAGACGATATTTCTTCATAATGCATCTTCACCTGTAAATTTATCTTGATGTATCTTTGCTGGTGGTTCATTGATTTCAGGACTAGGAAGTATAAAATTATGCAAGCACAGGTTGGGATTGGAAAATTGTTCCGCGAAGAAGTGTAACAATTTTAAATTAACCCCTTGCTAATGTAAACTCGAAAAAGTTTTTTGTTAATTTATGGTAAAGAACTTATTACAGTCAAACCTCTTCAAGTCAAACTTCAAGAAACCAGAAATAAAATTTGACTTGGGGAGGTTTTGAATTGAGCCACAATACAAAGCCCTTTTGTCCCGGGAAGCATTGAAAAATTGCTTTGTAAATTATGATATTCTGAGGCTGAAATTACTTCTTGAATGAGTTGGAAGCATCTTGAACTTGGAGGCAGGGTTCATTTGCCCATTAAGTCTCTCACCTCCTTTTAAAACAAATCATTTTTTGTTTTTATTGCTTTTTTTTCTTTTTGGTGTCAAGAAAGTAAAAGCCAACAGGCCACAGAAAATTTAACTTATGGAGGTTAGAGGGGAAAAGCCTTTGACTTAAATGCATTAATTCTAAGGGGATTCAGACAGGACCTGAAAAAAATTAAACTTAGTATTCAACTTAGGGAGGTTTGAGTTAACAAGGTTCACCTTTAATTTACAATTTTTGAAAATGTTACCAGACAGAAGGAGGACAAAATAATTTTCATAGCAAGAAAGTCAAGTTCAAATTTTTTACTGCTTTCACAAGTTTTCACTTCTAATCATGCAGTGCCCTGAAAAAATTTCTGGAAATCTACAGAAGAACTGAATGACTAAAACATAATGTTGAAAGGTAAAATATTTTTACAAACTCAAGCAATATTGTTCCCCGTGAAGAACTGGGACAAGGGGTTTATGTCTAATGAGGATCTATTTTTCGAAAGATTGTGATGTGTTTGAAAATATTTACTTTGAGTTGTTTTACCGAGTTCTTGCTGTGAATGACTCACCAATCCACCATATTTTTTGGTTGCTTTTTTCATTATTGCCGTACAAGCGTCTTCAAATATTGGGAAGGGTTTCTTTTCTTCGCATGGGAAATTTGAATTTGATGAGACACGTCATATTATTTTTCTTCAGGGCTTTGAAGAATCTCGCAGATTTTTGAATGTCTAAGGTGTGGTTCTAATAGGTGTGATTACGACTTTGCTATTGCAGGAAAGTCTACACTTACGTGGCGTGAGCTCGTTGTTATGCAAATGAAGAGACGAGAACCAATTGCTCACGGCCTGTAAATAAATGTCAGTCCCTTCGTCAAATATCGCCTGAAGCAAATTCCTGCGACTGTCTGGACGAGAAAAAAAAAATGAGAAGAAGAAACGAAGAAGCGTGGTCAGAAGAGGAAAACAAAAACAACAACACCATGAAACTCCTGCTTCTGGGAAAAATCTGTGATGTATTTAAATCTCTTTGGGAGTGTTTTTTTTTTTAAATAAACGACGGACCGCGTGCGAAGGAACTTTTTTCGGGTGATGGGAAGGTATAGAGAGAGCGATTTGAGTTCAAGTGTCTTTCTATGAGTCGAGGAGGAATTCTTCAGCCGGGGGGATTGTCTTTATTTGTTGGAAGATTTCTTTTTTTTTGACTGGGACGCGATTTTCCTGGCACCCCGTACGCGATTTTCTTTCTACTTCTATCCCCTCCCAGGGTTTTCTTTTTTTTCCGATGACGCTATGCATTAACAAATACGTGGCAGATGATGAAATAATTGCGATTCTTATGCGATGTCGCTGATTTCTTTTGGCTGAATTTTATTCCCTGCATTTACGATCGATCTTGAAATTCTTGGGCGATTTTTATGTCCTGTACGTCAAGAGTTTCTTCGAGGAAATGTACTTGTACTATACAGGTACTAGTACTGCATCTGGGCGAATGATACGTGCTTTCTCCCAAATGATGAGGAATCACGAAGTGGTGAGTGATTTTAATTTCGTGAGTGACGTGGCAGAAGATCAATGTTGTCTTCAACGACATTGTTTCTTGAAGAGCAACAAATGTTTTGAGATGCCATGTTGTATTTGATATGTCCTTAACGAAGTACTGGACTGTATATTCTAGTACAGTATCTTATTTCTCATTCGCCCTGACATGACACAGAAGGCGAGTTACTCCCTGAAAAAATCTTTGGAGCAAGGGAATCCTAGCGAATTACAAGAATGAAATCCAGATAATTTTTGAGGGGCAAGGCAAAGCCTGTAAAAGAAGGGATGGAATCCCCTCATCCCATGTATTCTTTCATGTCTCATGACAAGGTATTACATTTACTGTAGCACCAGGCACACCTACTGTATTTAAAAAAATCAAAATTGATGGAAAAAAGGGGCTGCACATAATTGGCAGGTTTAATTATTAATTTTTGTAAGTTTAGGTGTGCATTTTACTGAACTTCATTCTAAAGGGAAATTTTGGAAGCAATTTTTCAGATTAATTCATTTTCATGATGACAATCAAAAACTATATGCAGTTGAATTCAGGTTCAATTCATCTCTAATTTCAAAATTGGGTGTTCTCATTTTTGAAATATGAACAGCTTTAAATTTTATTCTCATGTAAGACAATTCATTTTTAGTGACCAAGTGAAGTTTTAGACTGAAGAACCTTGGTGCATGTCCTAGAATGCATTGGTACTCAGGTAAATACTGTACAGCCATCATCCCTTGCAAACTATTCCATGACCAAACATTTTCTGAGAATCAGCACAAGTCTAAGAAAACTAGTGTAGTAGTTGGTCATCAGTGAAGGGAATGTACTGTATTGCATCACTTCAGTGAATAACTAAAGCACAGCATACATAATTTTCCAAACCCTATCAATTAAGAGTTGGAATAAGTGCCAAGCACGGTTATACTGCGGAGAATAAAAAGCATTCGAAATGGGAAAAGAATATATTCACAATTTAGAAAATATGAATTCTCAGGGTGTGAGCAAGTGATGGGGGGGAAAACACACACACACACAAGAGGAAAAAATACATGTTGAATGAGATCACAGCCATTGGTCTTGGAGCAAATGTCAGGGCTTGCAAGCTTCGTGAAAGGCATCCAAGCCGCGGAAATCCCTCCAGGTGGAAGGCATGTTGTTGTTCAGGTGCATTCCACATTTCTTGCACACTTCAGAAAATAACTTGAGGTAGCTGTGGAACCATGTCTGGAAAGTAATTTTCACACGTCAAATCATCATGTTATCCATATTCAAATTCATCACTAAAATATTTACACCAGAATATGAAGGGAAGCATGTTCAATCCTTACCTCAATAATGCTTAAGCACTGTAATTGCAAAAAAGAGCCTGTGTATTGAACTAACAACATTAATCATATATTCACTTATGACATTCGCATACATGAACCCCAATACAAATCTCAAGGAAAAGAATACAGTGAGACCCCAAGATGCAGACATAATTTGTGCAAGAGTGTCCCTAAGTTGAATTGTTGCTAAGTTGAGTCTTGTTTTCCCATGGACTTACATCATATAATTTTTAATTTGAGTTTTGTGGAAGAAATATTCTTCAGAATTCCCTGAAAAAAATTGTTTGCCACTTGAATTTGAATTAGTGAATACATTTTCTAATTAGGAAGGTTTTGATTTTTGCAAGTTCTGAATTGAGGAAAAAATTCTTGCACTGAGAATTAGTAAAAATATTGCAGAAAAATGTAAATGAAGAGATTCTTGGCCTGAAATACATTTGCAATTTTATCACAAAATGTCCCTATGTTCAGTCAGTGCTCTCATGTTGGGTTTTTATCAATTTTTCATGAGAAAATAAGTGTCCCTATGTCAAATTGTCTGCAGGTCAAGGTGTTTGCATGTGGGGGTCTCACTGTACAGAATACTGTACCATGTTCATTTTCTTTTCTCTGCATAAAATATATAGCCTGGCCTTGGTCTAGGCTAGCAGCAAACACCCCTATCAACAAGCATTCCAGATTAAATGGTGTTGGTCCCTCATATCTGCACTGGCTAAAAAACACTAATCCAGCTAGCAAACACTGGCCCCAGAAATGTTTCCTCAGAAAACATGAGATTCTTCCAGCTAAAAAAAAAAATCAGCTTTAAAACTTTTCCCTGTGTACAGCCAAGACCATAACTCCAGAATGGTGGGTTTGGCCATTCTGAAATGAATCATAAACTTGTTCACACAAGGCACATGTGATACAGTCCCCTCTGGTTAACAAAGTTTTTGCTCAAAAGCAAAAACCCCTTGGTTAACAGAGCAACATTTGGTCAACAAACCTTTACATGAAGTATTTAATTACACAAATATTGTATAAAATGACATTTAAATGCAAGTGTCTGCTTCCAGCTGCCCGAATGTGAATGTTGAAGAAATCCCCCTTTTTATGAACCATTGGTGAAGCATTACTGGTAGTCTTGTAATATATCTGTTTACTTTCCTTTTGTAAACTGTGGCCATATGCTCCTGATTTTCTTGGATACATTTCCTTACAAAAGTGAAAAATTTCCGTTTAAATGCAAGCAGTTCCACACTTGAGCTTTTGGATAATTTTTCTTGACAAGATTCCAGGAAAATCAGAAGTTTCTGCCAAAAAATTAAGAAAAGAATGAAAGTGAAAGACTAGGTCTCTCATTTTCAATTGAAATTCAGTGGCAACAGAAGAAGTGGGCAGACTTCTTCAGGATTAAAATGAGAAATTAATTGCCAATAATGAGACTGGAGCTAGGATTAAATGCCTGAGGGGAAAATATAATAAATTGTCAGGATCCCCTCTTCATTTTCTTTATGGGTTGAGTGGTGAAGAGCAGATACATTTTCTCCCAATTTATGTATAGTAAAATATTGTTACAACAAACTCCCAGGGACAGGATGAAAAATGTGTTGCATGAAGGTTCAGGGTTTTCAACACTTTTTTGACTGAAACTTTGTGTGAATTGGGTAATGAATAATACTGTAAAATGTTTTTACAACATATAATCCAAGACTTGTCATAATTTCCAAGTATTTCTGATGAAATGAGCAGAAACATGTTAGTTAAAGTACATGTGAGAGAAATCCTTCCTTCCAAATCAACTTATGCTTTCATATTACCTATTTGTTCTTTCAAATAAAGGAAAATTCTTTTAAAAAAACTGTAATTTTTATTTTGAAGAAAGATATAAAGCCTGAAACAGAGTTCAAGAATTTCCAACGAATATGTCATGTTGCAAAATTTTGTATACACTAAATTTTCTCTGCAGAAGGTTTTGTTTCTTCAATGGAGTTGGAATGCTGCACCACTTCAAATTTATTTTTCTATTCTTCTGCCATTCATCAAATAATCCCCAATAGAATTAGGGCCTTAAATTTGTCATATTGAGATTACAGCCTAAATCAAGATTTTTGAAACAAATTTTTTATAACATTGTGGCCATGGAGAAACTGCTGGGGCTCAGAAATAAATTGGAATTTCACAAAATATTTTCTCAGCAAATGTCCTTCTGAAACAAATAATATTTTTCAATTAATTTGAGACTCGCATTCGAGCCAATCCTCAATTAAAATTCGGAAAAAATACCGTATTCACTCTATAGAACCACGCCCACCAGGATTTTTCAATAGGGAATTTTGGTGAAATTTAATCTTATCCCGGAGCAAAGTCCACAAAATTTCAAAAACAAGAAAACCCAAATTTGAATTTACTCACGAATTGGACTAATTTTCGATTCCTTCCATAAAAATGAGTTTTTTTCTCGCTAAACTTTGTCCAAAATTTCCCCTTCCCTTCAGAATCAATTACTGTATTTTCTAGAGCGGTTTGAAAAATGTATAACCTTTTTTCTCTAAAAATTTGAAAGAAAAAAAGGTGCGCCTTCAGAAAAACTAGAGACTGAAGAAAGAAAGAAAGAAAGAAAGAAAAAACCCCCTCACTAGGAATGATCTGACGCAGAGTTCAGGCATCAGTGGGGAGTAGTAGTTCAACATGGCCGCGTTGGCGCTTTCAGTCACTTTTCTGAAAACTGCGTGTCGCGATGGAGTCCAGGGATCCGATTTCCCGTCCTCGCCATAGAAGGACTCGTCGAATCCCCTCACGAGCACGGATTCAATCATCAAGCCCTTCATGACGATCACGGCAATCAAAACTCTGCTCAACGTCACCTGAAAAGACCAGAGGAAAAGCAGTTTTGCCTCACTTCACATTTAAAGTACAGCAGGTGCTGGTACCTATTGCAATTCAAACCTCCCACAATTTGACCATTTTGCAATTCAGTGGTCAAATTTGCAGGGATGTTAACTTGCAATTTGACCCTTGCCCTGCAATTCAACCAGCTTTGACCATTTTTCCCCATTTTTTGTACTTGAAACCTTAACTGCCAAATTTCCTGCACACCCATCTTTGCTTCATTTCATTCATTTACATTTTGACAGGCTGGGGACATTTATTTTCAAATTATAAATTCAAAATCTTGTCAAATATTTGAATTTTAAACGGAATCCCTAAAAAGGGATTTTACATGCCATTTTAATTCTTGCAACAACAAAATGGCTAATTGAGGTAATGCACCTCACGTCAAGGTTTTGACAAACTTTTTGACCCTTGTGATCTCACACTCAAAACTTCAAATGAACATACTACCAGATATTAGAAGAAAATACCCACATGCAGGATGGCATTAGAACCAAAGGGTCTTGTCAGGACTATGCTCATGTCTTTGAACTGCTTCTCAATGCAGGAGATTGTGTTGTCCACATTCCTATAGTAAAAAAAAGAGTTGGTTATACAGTATATACTGTA